CACAAAACACGACAAACACGACCCATTTGCCAGGCCTACACGAAGACATTAGTCCATTAAAGAAATGGGCTTCTAGAGCAACTCCACCAGCTAGGAATTGCCCTTGCAATTAGGTTTAATTGCCCCCCTAACCCATTAAAAACTGCTCCAACAGTTGTAAAGAGTGATGGCAATTGATGCAAGGGTAGGGTAAAGGCAGCATGACAATTGCCCTGCCAATTGTTGCAAGGATAGGCACCCTTTCTTTTCACCAGGAGATGAAAGTGCAACACATGCAGACATAAGATTCATGCCCAATTTGTTGAGCTGATTCAAGGAACATCTAGGAGTGAACAATCTATGTCAAGTAAATACATACATTTACATAAAGATTTGAAAGCTTGGTAAAAACCCTTGCAAAAGCAGAAGAAATTTATCAAAGTGGCACTAATCTAGCTGATGTAATATTATTTATTGTTAGTAAAAATGTAATTAATATGTTTTTTTTTAAACTTTTATTATGTAAATCTTTATGTTGTCCCACACTTTTTTTTTTTAGCAACTACAAGCTCAAATGTGATTCAATCTTGATAACAAGTAATCATTCATAAGGCACGAATGTTGGAACATTGTGAAGCAAACTCTAGAGTACAAAGTTCTGCCTACTGGTTGATAGGAACATATTTATGCGACTTAATTGGCTTGTTCTCGTGCATTTACGTTGTGTTTCTTTAGTTATTTTAGTCCTTTATGCCATTTTCGTGTGTTTCTAGGTTCATATGGCTAAGGAAGCAAAAAGGTGCATTTTGGAGCAAAATTGGGCTTAGAATGGATAGCTTATGCTTGGAGCAAAAGTGTTGGACGAAATTGAAGCCTTGTATGCACTTTAGGACATAAAACAAAGGGCCTAGTCCAATCAAACAAAGCCTTAGAACCAGCAAAACCATCATTTCCAGCACCAAACAAACCTTGCCGTGCATCCCATTTGCATTTCCAGCTTCCCACTTCATCATTGCACCATATTCTCTTCCATATTCCCTCTTTAATCCACATGCATTCATCATCATTCACCCTAGCTTTAATTCACATGCAAACACATGCATTTCCAACACCAAACATCACCTTGCCGTGCATCCCATTCCATTTTCCAGCTTTTCTCCATCATTGCACCACATTCTCTTCCACATTCCCTCTTTAATCATTCTTTTCCTAGCTGTTTTTCCATCATTATTTCAGCCACATGCACTCTCAATCATAAGAGCCACATGCACTCTTAAACAATCAGCCACATATTCTCTTATTCCCCCTATAAAAACCCATGCATTCATACACAAAAACACAACAACAACAACAAAAACAGATCCTGAAACCATTGCCGTGCTTCCCCATTCCATTTCCACCATTCTTCCCTTCCATTTCCACCACTCCCCATCCCTCCAAAACACTACCCAACCATTCCCCACTCTATTCCACATACAAACACCAACCCAAACCTATCCTTAGACCTTGTGCCGCAACAAAGAGGAGGAGAAGGGCCTAAACGTTCATACAATTCAACTTTGAGTTGTTGGAATTTTTAGGTGTTTCTTTTCCTTGATTTCAATGGTTAAATTTACTTATCTTTGTTTTGTACGTATGAGGAACTAAACCCCCCATTAGCTAGGGGGTGATTCGAAACCATGTTTATGCTTGCAATATGAATTGATTACCTTTGGTTGGAATTTCATGAGTTGTGGATTCAATTTGTTTAACTGTTTGATTGATAACTTATTTATGTATGTTTATTGAGAGTGCACGCTTAATTTTCATGCATGAATATGACGCTAAAATATAAGTGAGTTTCACCTAATAGTTATGAACTTATATTCACAAGTAGTGGAGGTTGCTTATAAACAATCGCGTTAAATGAATTCTGGGCACTAGTTTCATGCTCATCATAGTAACGAATGCCTCGTCAACACTTATGGTTTTCAAAGAACTTAATGATTCTTGCTTGTATCTCTATTATGCAATTCATGTAGGGAACTTGTGGGGAATGCTTTGGGTTGTCGTATGCAATCATCCAATTCATTAACTTAAGGAAAACTTGACGGTTAATTTAAGCGGACCTAATTAACCCGGGGTGTTGAGTTTCATAATTCATCGAAAGACCAACCGAAAATCATCTTGTATGCAAGTGTAACATGTGTGGAGAAGAACCTTCTAGCTAGCATTCATCCATATTTTCATCACATTCATATTTACATTTTGCCCTTAATTACAATCTTTGCATTTTAGTTTAATTTTGTCAAAACCTCAATCCCCCCCCCCCCCCCCCCATATTTTGTTTAGTCTTAATCTATCTCATTTTGTGTTTTTAAGTATTTGGAGTCTTGTGGACTTATTTTGAGTTTTCGTTAAGTGAATTAAGTGTTTAAAGATTAGTTTTATTTATTTGAGTCAAGTGTTTAGCACCCCTAGTTAATCCCCGGTTAGAACGATCCCTACTTACATCATTACTACAATTGTCACAAATAGGGTTTAATTTATGTGTCACATTCGTAACGCATCACTGGTCCACATGTTCAGTTAAGCGAGACTCCATTGCATGAATCAACTACTGAAGAGTTGTCATTAGAGACCCATTGGAGACACCATTACGACCCTTATTGAATCGGTCACAGAAACTGAAGAAACAATGAGGCCTATTGGTAAGAAGGCTGCTAAGAAAAAAACTGCAAGAGGAAGTTCTTCGAATAATGATTATTCAAAAGTTGTTGATGAATTGGCTCGCCAACATGCATTGAATATGGAACGAGACAGGTTAACATATGAGCTAGTCAAGGCTAGAGATGAAGCAAAGGCAGAGAAAGAGAGTTGAATTGGCAAGAAAGGCAAGAGTTCAAGGATTAGATCATGTCCCGATGCCTCGACGGTGAATCTCCTAATTCAAAACGTTTTTGGAGAAGTGAAAAAAATTGTGTCATGAGAAAAAGGTTTTCCTTGGAAGATGAGGAAGTCCATACACTCTAAGGGAAGATGGATCAAGCCACACTGATTTTATACCCTAGTTTAAAATTAATTATGTTTGTTGTAATGCGATGACTTTCTGTTGTATTTGAAATTATTTATTGGAATTAGACTATAATTATGTTTATTGTAATGCCCACATTCATTAGAAATTAAAAAAAATATATTTGTGAACAACAATCACTCTTGCCATTGCCCTTCCTCCTCCCAAACTGATGGACTTGCATAAAGGCAATTACTGTTTAGAGTGAAAAGTATGGGCAATTTTATTGCCCTTGCCTTCTAAATTTCCAATTGCCATTACCCTCCATTATCTAGTGGAGATGCTTTAAAGGCACAAAGTCATCTTTCTAGTGATAGTCTTTTCTGGGTTCTTCAAGTTGTTTTTGATATATGGGTTCAAGGTTGTTCATTTTTTAAAGATTAGTGTTTTGAGAGTCTTAACGAAACACTCCTGGTACTGTTCACTTTTAACGTTAAGGACAATTTTACTCTAAAAAGTCACTCCTAGGTACTATTTACCTACAACACCTTTTTGTCATTTTGGTTAAAACTCAAAGTTTTCAAGCCTTTTTCATTAGTTTTCCTTAGTGTTTTTGATATCTGTTTGCCACGACGGCTCGAACCAAATCGAAAGGGGGGCCCAACCTTGCTGCCCCGCTAAAATCGCAATGAAAGTAAGTGGATGCAATCTCTCTCCTCTATCTCTGTGTTAAGGTCCTTGGAGAAGAAGGTGGTTGAGGCCCACTTTGTTTTAGTTTAATTTTTTCTTTAATTGTTTCTTTAATATTTAATATTTTTATTTGCCACGTCAAACATGTGGGCCTTATATTTGCATCACGGTTTGATTAACAAATGTATGAAATTATAAGTAACGTATGAGATTGAAATGTTTAAAGATATTATATGAGGTTGCAATTGCATCCAAACTTGAATGGTAAAATGTAATTTACCTTTTCATTTATTTTATGACTTTAATAATAAGTCTTGTTTGGTCCCTAGGATTGTATTAGAATAAAGTGGATAACCTATTAAATTCGAATACTTTGAAGACAAGGCAAATGATATTAAGCTTCGTTTGGTCTCTAGTATTGGATTACAATAAAATTGATAACCTATTGAATTCGAAAGATTTTAAGACAAAGGCGAATGATTTTTCATTAGAGAGATACTAGAACGGGGTTCTTGTCCCTTCTAATCCTTTCTTCTTCTACCGTTAAGTTGACACAAAATTTTCACTTTTAATTTCAATATATTTTCGAAATCATTTCAATTCAATCCTAAAGACCAAACGAAACATAAGTGAATTACATACATTTAAAGAGTACTCTTTGCTTAATATCAGCCATATCCTACTCTTTGCTTCATATCAGCCATATCCATTATTTTGAGTCCTTTCCAATTTGTAAAACGCCATTGAAACCATGATATGGGATTCTTAAGAGATTTCAGATTTCTTGGCAGAGAGTAGAGGGAGAGAGAGTTTTGGTCTACTAACATTGGTGACCGACAGATTCTCTCGGTGTGGAGAGAAATGGAGGAAGATTGATAATGAAGAGTGGGGCCATGTGGGGCTCCGCAATTACCTCAGTGGAGCAAATTAGAGACTTTACAAGTGGAAGCTGTAATGTCAAGGCAAAGCAACTCCAACAAATCCCTATCCTTCACCAACCTCCCAGCGACAGATTTTTCCAACTGCTAGGTATTCAAACGGTAATTCATGTATCTTATTTGTGTGTGTATATATATATGTATTTTTTTTTTGGTACTATTATATTTAGAAAAGTGTTATTGGTACTTCGAAAATCTTATTCTACACTCCTCACAAGTGTATTTTTCTTTTTAATATAGAAAGTTTGGAGTGTAGAATAAAATTTTGAAATGCTAATAACAATCCCCTACATTTATTTTATAACACGTGATATATCAGATTGAATATCGGATCCTATGAAAAGTTTCTCCTTCCCAACCCAACCCAAAATAAAAGTTGGCACCTATTTCCATCATCAATTTTTCTCTTTCGATCCCTTTGTTTTCTTCATTGCCACCCCACCAACCATCATCACCCACCACTAAGCAACCCTCCAAAAATTCTTTTCTTTCCACTGTAACTCTCTCTCTCTCTCTCTCTCTCTCCCCCTGCACAACCTTCCTTTTTTGTGAAATTTCTTTGCTTGTATCTAAAGATTGATCCCTTAATCTAACTCTGTATCCGTTTTTTTCTTGTAGCTTTCTTGCTTACCAAACAGAAAGAACTGTTAGAACATCCAGGTGCACCTAAATTCCTATGGAATCATTCAATCCAACAGCCGGATTCCGGTACAACCTGAATTCAAGCACAATAGCCGATGAAAATGGCGTTTCCGATCAGTTTTCAGGGATTCTTGAAATCTATGCTCATCATGCTAGGAACATTCACAACATATGCATCTATGAAAACCAAGATGTGTACGCCAAATTCTCTCTTACGTACAATCCAGACGAGACGCTCACCACTAGGGTCATCAATGGAGGTGGCAAGAACCCCGAATTCAACGAAAGCTTGAGGATCAAAATTGGTCAACTGGATGCAGTCCTCAAATGCGAGATTTGGATGCTGAGCAGGGCAAGAAACTACATGGAAGACCAGCTGTTGGGATTCACTTTGGTCCCAATTTCTCAAGTGAATGGGAAGGGAAAGGTCACTCAGGATTATAATCTCTCTTCCACTGATCTCTTCCATTCCCCTGCTGGAACTGTCAAACTAACTCTTTCTCTCCATACTTCTTTGCCTGTTAAACCCTCCACTAGTTCGTTGTCGGAATCATCCGCTAACTCTTCCATAACCTCAGAAGTTGTATTGCTTGATCGAAAAATATCTCAAGTTGCGTTAGACCCTGTTGAGTATTCGAGGATGGAATTCCCAGACATTGATGTGGCGAGTACGAATCAACAAATGGTGACTGAGTATTTTAGTTTGGCAAGGCGTGACTGTGCTTGGAGACCTGGTCCCGAAGGTCTTGGATCGTTTCTTCATCTCGGTGCATCTCCTCAGCCTGCTGCTGATCCTGACCATGAAATGACTGTAAGTTCAGGTGAGGGGATTCAGGGTGACCCTGTTTCTCCCAATGGGAGCATCCAGAACTCCGGCTTCTTAAGTTGCACCACCACTAGCTTGAGCGATGATCGAAACTCCGCTGATTCAATCGACAAGAAGAAACTTGTGGCTGGTGAATCGTCGAATTCTCTCAACGCTTCTGTCACCGCGGGAGCAGCTAATCAAGGTTCCGCTGCTTGTCCAGACACCCCAACCTCAAGAAAGGGCAGAGAAGGCAGAGACGAAAAGGAGTCTAACTTGTCAGGCAAGGAAGAGGAGAGCAACAAGGAACAGAAAGTTGGATCTGGTCAATTTGGTCAAGTATTTTCTGCTCCACTTGGGAATATAAATATGGAGGCGGAGCAATCTGCAATGCAGCAACAAATAGTGGACATGTACATGAGAAGCATGCAGCAATTCACTGAGTCTTTGGCGAAGATGAAGCTCCCGATGGATCTTGATAAAGCAGAATGTGAAGACCGCAGCGAAGTGATTCCAAACCATAGCAACAACAGTTTAGAAGTTGATAAAAAAAAGGACGGATCGCGGGTGTTCTACGGCAGCCGTGCCTTCTTCTGATTGCTATTTGAAATGCTGCACTGTTTGACGGTATAAATTTATTTAGCAGAAGATTGAGTTTAATTTATCCGAACTAATTTTTATAGGATGCATTACGTTTGTGGAACATGTCTTCCTTTTAGTCTCTGTTTAATTTGTTGCTCTATATTTCTGATGTGAATAGTTGCTTCAGAGTTCAAATTCAGATGTACAGCTTTTGCTGCCTAAACTAAAACAACCATATGGTAGCGTACTTGGGCATAGCCAAATTGATTAGAGCAACGTGCTCGACGCCTGCCTTTGCACTCTAGTTCGAATCATGTCTCCCCATTTTCGATTAAAAAGTCAAGTCGATGTGATTTTCATTTGTGTTGTGCAGTTTCTGCTTTGAAATGGGCATCATTTGGTTTGGTCAGGAAATTTCCTTTGGTCTTCCAAACGCTATACAAAACAAGAAAAAGACTTGGCCTAATATTATACGCCGCCTTATCCAACATGGGAAGCTCCCCAATTCTTTTTAGCTCCAGCAGGTCTCTTATGTCAGGTCTCGGCTGCATCTACTTAGTTGAAGGACTCAGCCTCACTATTTATTAGGGTGGGTTCGTCCCCGTTTATCAGTTAAACTGTGAACCGAACCGAATATATACATATACAATTCGGTTCAGTTATTAAAAGTAACAAGTAATTCGAAACCATCATATTTATACCATACACATGTACTCTCCTATTAGAATCCAAGTAGAAATCGAACAAAAAAATGCTTGTCTAATAGTGATCACTTAGTACTAACTATTCCTTCTCGTTTGTAAGTAAGGGGTTTTAGGTTCGATTCTCGCTAAAGGCGAATTTGAACCACACTATTACTATCCCATTATGAGGTTTAGTCCACTTCCATACCCCTTTATTGTAGATAATATCATTTGTTAAAAAAAAAAAAAAAAAAAATAGTGAGTGCAAATTGCAACACATGATTAAAACCATTTTCTAATCCTAAATGAACTGACAAAACCAAAACCTTTTTCTACAAGACTTGATGCATTTATTTGAACCAAACAGCCGGCTTATAACAATCCAGATCATCCTCAAGTTCTTACACTACGTGTTCTTTTTATTGTATCTAACGAGATGACTTCATCAAAAGTTTGTGCATTTTTTTTTGAAAATTTGATGTGATTACTTCTTGAGTTTTACATTAAAGTGTGAGTGTTTAAACTAGAAATAGGATTAAAAATTGTCGGTTCATCGAATTAGGCTCATGCATTTATTATATTCTTTGTAGGATACCTAAATTCTGTAAGGGTTATACTAGAACAAACTGACGCGGGCTAAGGGTCAGTTTGGGATTACTGTTCTTTAAAAAAAATTGCTTCTGTTGTACTTAAAAAAAACCAACTGTAAAATAAAGCAGATAAGAGTTTGATAAACTATACTTTTAAGAGTGATTGAGTATGAAAACCAATGTACAAGCATTTGGTAATTTTTAATGTAAAATTGATATAATTATATATAATGAAAAAAAATGGACATGGTGGTGGGGGTGGTGACAACAATAGTGGTGGCGAGGGCAGTGGTGGTGATGGTGGTGGCGAGTGGTGATGGTAGTGAAGGAAAATTTATGTCCTTACTAAGAACATGTAAAGAACATTTGAATACATAGGCAAACTATTAACAAATTAAAGTAGGCATGCATCCAAAAACAATTCATAAAACCCATGACTTTCAAAGCCTAGTATATGGTGAACCATAACTCTTTAACAACATTAAAGAGAAGAAAGGATTTAGAGAATCATTACCCTTGTAGCTCATCCTTGATTACACAAGGGATTCACCCAAGTGGAGGGCCTTCAAGTCACCTCCTTTGCTTCCTTGAGGATTTGAGGATATGTTCTCCAAAACACCAAAAGCTTGATGTCTCCAAGTCTCTACACCAAAGATTAATTGTGAAGATAAAAATGGATGACTTAGGGGAGAGGAAATTGCTAGATCTCCCTCCCTAAGTGGCCGGCCTCCCTTAATGAAAAATAGAGAGAATAATTTCATCAAGAAAAACCCTTGACAAAATAAAGTTATAATTTTGAATTTATACTTCATTTCTTGTGAGTGGCAAACTTGTAATTAACACAAGTTTGGTACCCCTCACTATCCATGGCCGGCCTCTCTTAAGTGTTTGGGCTAATTGCCCATTTTGTTTTAGTTGTCATACAACTTAAACATAATGGGCCTTGTGGACCAAAACACTTTTGGGCCCCTAAACCCAAAACCAACTTAGAAGTCCAATACGAACGTTTCGTATAATTAATTAACTAATTAATTAACTTTGACCATACTTCAATTAACCATTTAATTGCTTATCCATTTCATTTAATTTCCTCACTTTCATCCTTACTCGGTGTACGATCCATTAGGTTCCAATTAGCGAGGCAGTGGGCGATGTTACTCTTAACTATCGATTGTGAATTTAAACCATATTTCAATTCTCCCTTAAGATTAGTGTTTGCTAATCTTTAGGGCTTCCACAAACCATGAGTGACACCTAGCAGCATCTCATGGTTACCCAAGCTAAGTAGAAGTGGTTGGAGAACCTATCCAGTTACAACTACAATGCAATACGGTCCTTCTCTAATACAATACTCTTAATCACATTGTTGAAGTGATAGTTTGTTTCATGTCTACTATCCAATGTGATACTTCCCTATATGATTCGCTTGAATAAGATTTGGAACAAACTTCCTAAGTCATATTCATATGCTTTGGCCAAAGACTCTCGAATCATATCTTAGAGTATTCTCCTTCCACCATGGAAGGTTAGAGATCCCTTGTTGTGAATTCATATGCCTACATGACTAGATAGCTTGACCCCAACCATGCCGTGGACACTCCAAAGGAATGCCATTTGACACGATCAAAGATCAATGACCTAACCATTAGACATCTATGATGCCTCAGGTCAAAGGACTACTTTGCATATTGTAACCATCGAGTTCTTACATGACATGTATGTTTGAACTCTCTTTTGATCATAGTTCAGTGTACTCGATTACTCTTTCGAGCACCTATGTGTTTGTCTTAGTGTCCAACACTAAATGACTTGAGACTTGTCATATCCATACTTGAGTCGACATAACACATACTAACCTTAGCGGATTGTCAATGCCCAATTGGCAACCCTATGGCTAGGAACGTTTTAGGAATGAACATAAGAGAAAGGTCTCAAAAATCTAACTTACTTAGATCACTTATCTCTTAGATCAAATACATTCCTTGGATTCCCTTATTGCTTAAACACAAGATACAATAAATAGTGATTAACAATAAGCTTTGCCCTTCATTAAACATATAAAAGTTTAATACATTAAGTATTCCAAAAAGCTATTACATCAAATGAGTGGCTTTGTGGGCATACTTCCAACAGGTAGCAACAATGGTAGAGATATGGTTGTAGTGTAATGGTTTAGGTGAAGAGGTAACAATGGTGGTAGTGACGGCAGTGGCGGTTGTGGTTGTGGTGGTAACAATTTTGTGGTAAGGCAGTGGTTGTGTAAGCTTTGTGTCTATAGTGGTATGTGGTGTTAGTCACTTTGTTCTACAAGGAATACAACGTAAGTAGAAGGATAAGTAATGTCATTTAAAAAAAAAAAAAATGAAAGAAGGAATCACAAAAATTGAAATTATTTAAAGGCTCAACTCTGCTTTTTATGAAAGCAGCTTTTAAAAATAACTTACAGATAATTTTTTTTATTGCTTAACTTTAAAGTGAAGCATCTTTTAGTAAAAAAAAAAAAAAAAAAAAAAAAAACAATACCAATCGAGGTGTAAATACTGTAATTTGTGTTTTTTTTTTCATAACCTGAGTTAATTCTTTAAAAACATCATACTAATTTACATTTATTTTTTTATCTATAAAACGAAAAGCTGTTTTAGAAAACGTTACAAGTAAGACCCTAAACAATTTGACAAATATTTTATCAACTACGAACAAACCTTCAAATACTTGAGCTGATTTCATGGCATGAAAACATTGGCTGCACACCAGCTGTTAATTTTAAAAGAAGAGTCAAAGTACTATACTTTTCCCACACTTTGAGCTAACATGGTTACTTTATTTGTCTAATTAAGCTCTCCACCAAACAGTGTTCTTATACAAAGTCACGAATTCAAGGCCAACAAATTGGACGCCATTGTTTGCACTCCAAGAATACAATACAAGCACCAACCTTACGAATATTAAATGAGAATGGGTTTTTATCATAAATGGTCTCTGAGATTGATTAAATGAGGAAGGCATCATGACATCTAAAGCACTTGGCCTTCCTGAACTCATTTCTCATTCCCTCTAGTTGGTTATAATCTAATCAAATTCGAATTACATTTGGATTCAATTTTATCGAATTTAGATTGAATTTTTTTTCCAATTGGGATTGTGGGAGCGAGAGAAATGCCAGCGCGGAATACTCATCAGTTGGTTCACTCTTAAAAAACTAGTTGCTTATAGTTACTCCACATGGTGCCATATGATTGGATTAGTGGGACCATATCAGCACACTAAAAAAAAAATTGACGAAACTATAAGGAAATGACTAAATATATGTGCAGCAGTGAAAGACAAGGACCAAATTATCAATTTTTGAAACTCAGGGACCAAAATGAAGAGTTGGATCAATGTCAGGGACCATTTGCGATAAAAACCCTTATTTTGTGCAATCTACGTGTCACAATTTTATTGGGTTTGTGGGTCCCGCATACAAACTAACATAATAGTTGATGAAACCTAAACGAAAGGACCAAATTGATATGCGGTAGTGAATGTTAGAGACGACATTTATTGATTTTGAAAGTGAGGGACCAAAATGATGAGTTTGATCAATCTCAAAGATTATCTGTGATAAAAACCCAATTAGAATATACAAAATGAGATATGTTGGAGAAAGACAGCAATACTACAAATAAAGATGAAGAGGAATCGAAATGCAAAGAACCTTTTTTTTAAGGGAAAACTAATGAAAACACCCAAAAAAGTTTCCTTTTAATCATCAAGACAAAACAATTTGAAAATACCCAAATTGGGCATGGGAAAGAAGACAAGGGAGACAAACCATTTCAGAAAGATCACATGCATGTTCAAAACAAAAGCAAAAAATGGGCTTCAGGAGACAGCCATGCAGCAAGCTCACATGCATTTATCAAGACAAAGCCAAAGAAGACAAGCAAGTTCACATGCATTTATCAAAGCAAAGCAAAAGAAGACAAATAAGTCAAACCACGTTTCAGAAACAGTGCTGACAATTTCAGCAACAGTAGTAGATGACAAGTACCAAGAAGATGCCCATATCATTTTGTAAAGATTTTAAATTTTTATCAGAGTATCGTCATTCAGTCTATATAAGAAGAGTTCCATTCATTATATACACACACTAGATACTCACACCAGAAAAACACCAGATATGATTTCCAATGAAACATAATGTCAAAGATCATCACTCACATAGATTTAAGCAATCCTTACCCTCGAGCAGACTTAATCATAGTCACCATTCACTAGCTCATATTTAGTCAATTAAAACAACATTTTGAATGTAGTAACATGCCTTAGAGAATTCCCTCAATTCCTTACTAGATGTACTCTCAATTTTCACACAAATTTTCTCACTACATTCCCTACACTAGGTATATGTGAGAAGATTGATGTAAACATGTAGACGAACACTCACATATGTTATAACAAGGAAAGCATTTTCTGGAATTATGACAATGACATGTATATGATCTCATGAATGGAATGCTACTACTTAGATGCGAGAACCAGGAATAC